TAGAGGAAATATAGCAAGCACAGACATTAGCTCGATAAGTTCTCGTAGCAAGTAACAGATAAATTCATATAAATAGTTTCCAAATGACATAAATAAGTCCTTTTTTTCTCATTCAAGGGTCCACTGTTGCGTTGGTTAAAAGTGAACTTCAGTGAGGCATTTGTGGCTTGGATTCATATAAAGGCTCTTCGAGTTTTCTCTGAATCTGTCCTCAGGTAAGCAAATGAGTATACAGTATTGGTGGGGTATGAGGTGCTGACTGGTTAGGGGTTTCTTGACCCCATGGATATGTCCAAATGTCATTAAATAACATGAATTCCAATAATCGTGTATCACAGTGTTGCATTGGAGGACCTAGAGATTCCTAGAGGTGCCCTTGCTTGGAATTTGCTAGGTCCTTCAAACCAACTTTGTGATCACTTCCAAGGGAAGTATAGCATAGAATTGTCCAGAGAACCTAGAAAATTCCTACAACCATTTTCCCACCCAGGTATAGATAAGTGAAAATGCAGGTATGGATTCTGCAGTTGTGGAAGGCTCATTTTATGTATCAGAGAACAATTCTCTCAAATGTAGAATTTTCTCAAACTAGACTTGCTAACAAGTTATTATGTATGTTCAAATGTCAAAGGTATGGACTACCAGTGAATTTCCAGGCGATGCTACTTCAGCCAAACAAGAAATCTATGAAGAGATTGAGAGAGGTCCTTAATGCAGTCTTCAAACATCTGGATGAAGTAGCAGCAGCCAGCATCATGGATGTAAGTGCTAAAAAGGAAGACACAATGTCTGATCTATGATCAATGTTTGCCTTACAGAACCAATAACCGATTAAAAAAAAACCCCAGATAGCATTCTTCTATGAGTTGCTGTGAGTTTTCCGGGCTGTATGGCCATATTCCAGAAGCATTCCCTCCTGATATCTCGCCCACATCTATGGCAGGCATCTTCACCTCAGAATAAAACTTCTTGCAGAGTGCACTTCTCAACAAAGAATAGTTGATCCACCCCACCAGAAGACTGTTGGTGACTTTCTCACCTTAAAAGTTGAGCTTGTTTTTGATAATTTGAACCCAACTGCCTGACAAAGACTCTTGTGAGTCGAAACAGGTAGCAGGTTGGAGTCAATTCATGTGACTACTCACATGTAATAAAGAAAGGACATTTTTTCAAACGAAGACTTTGCTTTATACTTCAAGAGAAGAACCAATTGTTTCTACTTATGTGTATGTGGCAGTTTTTGATATGTGTATTTGTAATATATACATTGAGTTAATTTAGTTATTCTCATATCACCACTATCAGTGGATTTTGGTCTCAACAGGCATCCTCACCTCACAACCTCTGAGGGTGCCTGCCATGGATGTGGGTGAAATGTCAGGAGAGAATGCTCCTGGAATATGGCCATACAGCCCAGAAAACTCGCAGCAATGTATTGATTCAAGCCATGAAAGCCTTCGGCAACACAGTCTTCTAATAGATTTCCACATCCCACAATGTAGCTATAGCTGTAGAAGCAGCAGCCTTTCCTAACCAGCCATTGGGGATTGTGGGAGTTGAAGTCCAAACATACCTGGAGGGCCAAAGTTTGCCCATGTGTGCTCTAGAGCCAAGAAATGTTTGGTTTCTGAACAACTGCATGTAATGCTTTTTAATTACAGCAGAAATGAGAAACAAGTGCCTTGTCGGATGCTGGACAAGACTGCAGCTCCCATCAGCCCTTACCACTAGTTGAGGCTAATAGGAGTTTGTAGTCCAACGTCTTAACTGTGTTTTTCTCATAGTTACATAGGAAGTGCAGTTGTAGAGTTATTTGCTATTGGTGTGGGTGCAGTGAGGCTATTCCTCTCAACTAAATAAGACTCAAGTTTTCTTGCATTCATACATATCTGAAAATTCTGTTGTATTTGACCCTTTTTCTAGTCTTCTATGGACATCCCGGGCTTACAGCTAAGCAGTCAAGATTACTACCCTTATGTCTACTTCAAGATTGACCTCAGCCTTCTGGATTGCAGCTAAGAGGCGCCAGACTTACCCCATGACCGATCTCCAATGTCTTAAAATTTGATCGTTCGTGAGCGATGAAATTGGTGTGCAAGTACTTCCAGTTCCAAGTTAAGTTCTAAGGGAACTCCAAGATGGACCAAATAATGTCAAGCGAGTGTTCTGTGTAGTTTCTAAGTTTGGCCTGATGCTGCAGATACAGTAATTTCTCCATTTTTAGTGTGACAATTCTGGAAGCCTTTTTTGATCATGTTAGAGAACATGCTTCACAAGGCAAATCATGTTACAGTTGTATTTATTTTATTTTGTAAGTTACAAAAGAGTTTTCAAGCAGGGTTTTAAATAAAATCAAGTAATATCTGTTGACTGAGACGACAAGGATACTCTTAAATCATGGATCTGCAAGTTTCATGTTCAGATTCAGCCAATGCAGCAAGAATACACCCTTGTGCTGAATCTACAGACTAGGTAACTCAAAATTTAATAGAGTTCTTCAGTTTAGAACTTGAGAGGTACCCAGCATACCTTATATTAATGAGAAGTGGCACAACCAAGCTACTATTTTTTATTTATAGTGTCAGAAGCAAATTGAGGGTACAGTTGTAATGTATTTAAAAACACAAAGTTAAAAACTTGGCATTATACTAAATGTCCTTTGACCAGAAGCTGGCTACTTGGAGAGCCTCTGGTGTCGTTGTGAAAAGGTCCTCCATTGTACATGTGACAGGGCTCAGGCTGCATTGTAGTAGGTGGTCTGTCGTTTGCTCCTCTCCACACTTGCATGTCATGGGCTCAACTTTGTAGCCCCAACTAATCTACTGATTTCCCGTTAATCTAGTGTTTGGTGAAATGGCTAAGGAGAGGTTGGAATAAAACTCTGCTTATAGAATCTTCGTCATTTCAACAGCTTGTTGGAAGAATATTTTACAAGGCAGCAAAATACAAGCGTCTTACAAATTTTTCCAACTCTTACTGTAAGCTGAGTGGAACTGCCCATTAACAAAACCCAGTATAACTTCTGAAATAATACAGCAATTTTCAATTCATACAGGATGGAAAGGGACAAATATGTGGGTCACACCAACTTTATGATGCTTTGCCCAAAACGAGCTTACAAATAGGTGTGTAAGGGCAATGGGCAGGAAATTCCCCAATATGATTCTAGGCATTGTAGCTTTCCTCATTGCACCTCCCTGGAAGCTATGAGAGCTATATTTGGGAACTTATGAGGCTGCTTTAGAGCCAGGGGCAGACCTTTATCTCACACAGAACATAACTGGTATCACTTCCAGTCTAGAACCCCTGTCTAACTGCACAATTTGGTGAAATTGGCCCTTTTGGCACAAAGGATGCTGTGGACAGCTTTTGTATTAAAATTGGAGAGCTAGGGATTTTATTAAAGGTAACTGGTAGATAGTATGCAACCCATACTTTGACCGCCTTTTCTCTTCATGAAGCTTTAGATTCTCAGTGGCTGGATTAATACAGATGCTTGGCATTCTCCCAACACAGCCAAAAAAGTTGTAATAACATACTGAACATTTTTTTTCTATACAAATGCTTATCCCAAATAACCTGGAGTTACATCTGTAGCAATGGTTCCCAACCTGTGGTCCATGGACCACCAATAGTCCCCCAAGAACTAAAATATGGTCTGTGGCCTCGCCATTACTACACCGTTGCAACAAGAGCGACTGGTCTCGCGAAACCCTTATAGTGCTGAGATAACGGGAGAAAAGAGGCTGACTACCCACGAATGGTGTGACAACAAGCCTCCTGACTGCTGCTTCTCCTCCCTTCCCTAGTAAAGCCGTTCCATGTGGTGCCTGGAAGCAGGGGCGCCTTGTTTTCGTTTTTAGGCCTGTTCCTGGAGTTATTTGGGGTACCGATACACCATATCATCTCTATATTATTAAATAGTTTTCTGTGGGCAACTACTGGATGGCATATGTTCTGTAACAGAAGCTAGAGCTGATGTGGTCCATTCAATGTCATTTTCTTAATCAGCACCCCAAATAACCAACCCAAATCTAAAGTTGACCAAAAAACGATTCATAACCCTTTCGGTAGTAATGTTGGAGAGTGGTACCTGGTCAAAGTGGTCCCTGGTAAAAAAAAAAAAAAAGGTTGGGAACTACTGGTCTATTGTTTAGGAATAGTCTTCAACAGAGGAAAGGAATCATACTAGAAGCCTTCCCTGCAATCATGCAGGGACATAAAGATCAGATCAATCTATTCATGGATTGATAGGAGCAATTCAGCACTAATTGGTTCATCCTGCAAACCAACCCTCCTGCCATCCTTCATGGTAAGTCCAATCTCTCATTCTCAAAGTGATACAAGGAGCAATTCACTATGGTTAGCATGCAGGATGAACAAATCCAACTTTTCCTTCCATCCAAAGATGATCCCTCTTGGTAAATCTGTCTTTCATTTCCCAGATCAATCAGACTGCCTTCTGATTCCTAGAAAAAAAATCATTCTCAAGGATTAACATTCATGTAAGGAGTATACCTGCAAGTCATGTTTTGTTTCTGAAAGGCCCACTGGTTCCAAAAGGCTACAATATAGAAAAGTATCTTTGCCAATAAAGAAACTACATGGTAAAGATTTTCCCCTGACATTATCTAGTCATGTCCAACTCTGGGGGGTGGTACTTATTTCCATTTCTAAGCTGAAGAGCCATAGACACCTCCAAGGTCATGAGGTCAGCATGACTGCATGTAGCGCCATTACCTTCCCACTGGAGTGGTACCTATTGATCTACTCACAATTATATATTTTTGATCTGCTAGATTGGCAAAAGCTGGGACTAACAGTGGGAGCTCGCCCTGCTCCGCAAATTCAAACAGCCAACCTTTCAGTCAGCAAGTTCAGCAGCTCAGCAGTTTAACCTGCTGCACCACCAGGGGGCTTCATAGTTACCCCTTATAAAATAATTTTCCCTGCTTTGTGAAAACATGGATCTGTTTCAATATTATACAACACTGACAAGGTGTGTCAAAAATAGTTTTATTCTTTCATTGAAATGAAGGCTAGAGCAACTAGCACCTGGGGGGGGGGGGAGGGGAAGGTCACATGTTCAAACTAATGACAATAAAAGTCTCGAGTCACCGCCAACCACCACATACCAGCTGGATGAGTTTATACAGGATGGGAGTATTTCAATGAAAGGTCAGTGTCATCCTCAAGGTATCTGTTGCACAGAATACAATCAATTTTACTTGATACAAAAAATAATTCACAGAATTTTTGAGATTTTTTTTCTTGAGAGGCACACTGTTAACAGCATTCTCAACAGCTGACTCATATTCTGTCTCAGCAAAAAAAGACCCCTGGTACATCCCTCTGCTGCAAAGCAAAGTTCAGTCAAATGACTATTCAAAGTCTCTCAAGCAACCCAATGTCTTCATGGTCTCACAATTCATCCTTCTCATTATCCCAGTCATCCAGATCTACATCACTGAGATCAATATCTTCTTCAGCTGGCAGCTAGGAGGTAATGAAAACAAGTATGGATTCAGCAGGTTTGCCTTTGGATACAGCAACACATTTCTTTTATACATCTCTTTGAACAGGGAGCTTAAAAGTTCACACGACACACACACTCACAAACAAAAACAAACCAGAACTTGCTAAGTGGTTGTCATGGATAAATTTCATCTGAAAAGCTAACTTACAAATTGTCTTTTAGAGTGCATCCACACACTAGAATTAATGCACTTTGATGCCACTTGAACTGCAATGGCTCAATACTATGGAATCATGAAATTTATAGTTGGGTGAGCCACCGGCACTGTTTGGCAGAAAAGGATAAAGGCAGTGTTAGGGTTAAAAATCCTAGGATTCCATAGTGTGATGGAACTGTATAGATCCCAACTCATTTAATAGTAGTAGTAGTAATAATAATAATAATAATAATAATAATAATAATACTTTATACCCTGCTACCATCTCCCCAAGGGACTCGGTGCGGCTTACATGAGGCCGAGCCCAAAGCACATCAACAGGAAAAGCAGTAAGAAAACGATCAATACAACAGTTAAAATAAATCACATAAACAAAAGTAAACAATAAACAGTAACAATAACAATAAGCATTTAAAACCTATGGCTGGGCCTAATGTAATAATTTAAAATTTAAAAAATAATACTGGGCATGGACAAGGTAGGATATAACTGGGATAAGTTTTCAGGTAGAGATGGGGCGCACAGACAATCCTGTTAGGCTGTTTCTCCCACAGCTTGAGAGTAGCCATTTTTCTATTAGCTTTATGAGGGTGGAGCTTAAGGAAACCCTTTCTGGTTTGGAGCAGTCACTTGGTGCGCCCCTTTGACTGGGGAAAGGGAATCCATTTTAGATCAGAATTATTACCACCAGGGAATCTTGGGTGCAAGACGAGTCTATAGTTGGTCACAGCAAGATCCAGGCTTGCAGGCCAATACCAACCACCACTATTCTGGGAACTCATTGGACTATACTGATCTATCACTGGTCAGTGACAACCTGTGGAGTTTCCAGTGCCTTCAGCAAGGTGCCAGGCTTCAATAGGAGAGGCCTGATCACCTTGGGCATTACGTGTCCCAGAGGCTCCTTTACCAGAGAAAGTGAGCAAGGAAATTTTTCATTTGTCTTTTGTCTCCAGAATCACTTCAGGAACAACCAGTTACCCTTCAAACTTTAAGTATGGACTTTGTTGTGAGGAAATCAAGATAGTGCCTTGGTGGGGATAGACCCAAGGCCAATTAATAAATTGTTACCATTCCTTTAAAGCAAAAAAATGGACATGGATTCTGTGGGGTTCCTTGCTCAAACAGGAAGGCAAACCAGCACCTCACAAACTGATAGAAAGCTAAGACACATTAGCACTAAAGACCTTTAAAGCAGCTTGGGTGCGACAGCACACATAGCATTGAGCCATGGAAGTATTTATCGTATCAGAAGCGAACCGAGGGTACAGTTGTAATGTATTAAAAAAAACACAAAGTTAAAAACTTGGCATTATACTAAATGCCTTTTGACCAGTAGCATTGAATTGTTGCCGACTGTAAAGCGCCTTGAGTCGCCTTTGGACTGAGAAAGGCGGTATAAAATATGGTAAATAAATAAATAGCTGGCCACTTGGAGTGCTTCTGATGTTGCTATAAGAAAGTCCTCCACTGTGCATGTGGCAGGACTCAGTCTGCATTGTAATAGGTGGATTCTGGTTTGTTCTGCTCCACACTCACATGTCGTGGACTCCACTTTGTAGCCCCATGTCTTACGGTTGATTCTGCATCTCATGGTGCCAAGAGCGCAGTCTGTTCAGAGCCTTCCAAGTTAAGCACTCTAACACTGTTTGGGCATAACAACTTATAAGACACCGATGAGAACACTTGATAATTTGTACTGAATTATTAACTGTATCCAAATCTGCTGTTTTAAGTACAGTTTTGCCCCCTGCCCAATCAGGATTTATAGAATCGCAACACCATGAAAAACATGGGAAGTTATTTTAAAAGATATCTAAAGAGGATTATGAAAAAAAAAATCTATAAGCAAAGTTTGAGGGATATATTTGCAGACACAATAAAGTAAAATAAAAGGAACCAGAAGAGCTTTGACTAAGAGGAAAAAGGTGACAAAACATACTTAGACTTAATATAATTTTAGGTGGAGAGAAAGAAGTCAGAAAACAGACACACAGCCTAAGTTTAGCTTTTTTGCAGATATGCTAAACAGAAAAGGCAGATATGGCAATATTCTAGCCGAGAAAGATTAAGAATCAAGATTTTAAATAGAGCCTACAGAAAGAAGCAGAATTTTTTTCCAAGTCTTGTGTTTTTAAAAACAAGAAGTAGCTGGATCACTAGTGATAAAGCAGGAAGGGAATTCGAAAACAGGTTTCTAAAGAGACTCTGAACAAGAGATCAAATGAAACACAGAGAACACCCAGGGACCAAAACAGTGCCTCTTACCTCCCCATCTTTTCCATCCCAAGGCTCTACAGTGTTGATCTTTGAAAAGCCCCCTCCACCTACTGGTGCTGTTGATCCTCGGCCAACAGAGAGTTCCCTGAAAGGAGAAGAGACCAAGCACCTTAGAATATATAATGTCCAGACATCATAATATTTTCACTATCTGTTTGGCAAGATACAGGCTGCTTGCTCATATGTTAAAAAGGAAGCATTCAGCATGTGCAAAGTATACAAGCACTAACACAATGTCAAAATCAAGGAACAACAATAATTTTACGTGTAGACGCAATTTAAGTACTGACAAAGGAGCAAACAAAGGTAAATAGTTCTAACCTGAGGAATTCATTAATCCCTTGTTCACTGAAAGATCCTTTTAGCAATGCAAATTTCATCTTTCGAGCATTCACTGCTGCCATAGCTGGGTATCCAAAGCCTCCGATTCCTAAGGAATTTTCAAGATCCGACTGAGCTCCAGCCTCCGTCCAAAGCCACCTTGGAAACAAAACCAAACGAAAATGAAGTAGCTGAAGTTCAACAATATTTAGAAAGTCTCACAATTCCCACCTGTCTTGGGCCCTTTCTACACTGCCATATAATTCAGATTTATCAAAGGAGATAATCCACAGATAATCTACATTATAGAGCCCCCTGGTGGCACAGCAGGTTAAACCATCGAGATGTTGGACTTGGAAAGGTCAGCAGTTCAAATCTGGGGAGCAGGGTGAGCTTCCACTGTTAGGCCCAGCTTCTGTCAAACTAGCAGTTTAAAAACATGCAAATGTGAGTGGATCAATAGGTACCATTCTGGAAGGAAGGTAACAGCGTTCCATGCAGTCCTGCTGGCCACAACGCCAACTCTTAGACATGGAGATGATCACCATCCCCCAGAGACAGACTCAACTAGACTTAATGTCAAGGGGAAACCTTTACCTTTTATCTGCTTTGAACTGGATTATATGAGTTTACATTGCCATATAATCCAGTTTAAAGCAGATAATCTTGATTTTATATGGCAGTGTAGAAGAGGCCTTAGACCAGGGGTCCTCAAACTTTTTAAACAGAGGGCCAGATCACAGTCCCTCAAACTGTTGGAGGGCCGGATTATAATTTTAAAAAAAAATGAATGAATTCCTATGCACATTGCACATAGCTTATTTGTAATGTAAAAAACACTTAAAAACAATACAATAATTAAAATTAACAACAATGTTAACAAATATAAACTTATTAGTATTTCAATGGTAAATGTGGGCTTTCTTTTGGCTGATGAGATAGGATTGTTGTTGTTGTTATGTGCTTTCAAGTCGTTTCAGACTTAGGTAGACCCTGAGCGAGGGCCGGGTAAATGACCTTGAAGGGCCGCATCCGGCCCCCGGGCCTTAGTTTGAGGACCCCTGCCTTAGACTATAGTCTTGATTAAAAGCCAAGCTGGAGTTAAATCTTCACTGAGGTGTTGCATTTTTAAAAGAACGCTCTTAGTTTCAACTCAGCAGCAATTCCGCACAACATAAATGGCATCACCCAAAAATATGCATCACTGAATAGTTACGCATTGCTTCTCTAAGCCATGCTTTTTGTTGTTTTGTGGAATAACTAACTTGTGCTTACCCCCACATCTTCTTTTTGTACTTGTCAGCCAATTTCAACATGACTTCTAAGTAGGAATTTCTTCCTGCAGCTCCTAGTTGAGACAAGAGACCACAGGAGAGGACATTACAATCGCCATGAATATTCACAACACTATGGCTATACAACAAAAGGGGGGGGGGGGGAATCTATGCTTTTTCTTGTTTACCTGTATCAAGAATATGGGGCAAGACAGAAATGATACACAGCTGGTGAGCATCACAGGTTTGCTTCAAAACATCTTCATTAATAATCTGAAAGAGTGAAAAAAATGTATGGTCAGTCCCAATGGGGAGCAAGCACAGGCTATTGTTGGTGGTGACTATGTACATATACATAACCTATGGACAAATAAATAACCAAAATGGGGCTGAGAAACGAAAAGAAAGTCAACATCACAAACTGGGAAACTGCAGGCTTTGCAGACACAAAAATGAGAGTGCAATTCCCATCAAGACTGGGCAGGATCAAGGGTCACAAAACATAGCAGGGAATGGGATTGCGAATGGAAGGTGTTGTCAGAAATACTAAAAATTAACTCAGCAATTTTTATTACAAAATTGTGAGTCAAGCACTGAAAGAGTTGTAGGCCGAAGCCCATTAAGAGTCAGTGGTCCAAAGCTAGTGTAGTCCTGAAGAGTGTGAGGTAAACCTCTAGTGTGAGAAGCTTTGGTGAAAGAAGTCCCAGGTTAAAGGCCTCGTGTGTAAAGCTACTATGTGAAGCTCCTGTGTAATTTCGGTGTGAGAGAAGCCTCATGTGAGAAAGCTCCAGTGTGAAGGCTGCGGTGTGTAAAGCTACTAAGTGTTTGTTTATTTGTGTCATGGAAACCTTGTTGTTTTAAATAGGGCAACCATATTATTTTGCTATAAAGAAAAGCCTCCTATGGAAGGGGTAACACTGGTCTGTTTTGTTCTTTTTATCACTTTGGGCCACTGGTGCTGGGTCACGCTGCTGCTAATAAGTCACCCTGCTGTACATTTATGAGGAGGGTCTTTTGTTAAGACTTGCCCAACAATGTGTAACTTGAACAAAAGCATTACAGGCCGAAGAGGAACATTTCACACTATAAACATTTTTTGCAGGTTCTACTTATAAATGCTAAAATGTGACATAGGAAGGGCTTTTTAAATAATTGGACAAACATTACCTCCAGGAGTTCAGGCGGCGGCGCATTCTCTGAGAACAAGTCCACGGCACGAGCAACAATATCTGTTTTTGTCCTCCCGCCATCATAATCAATGGGGTCTTCTCCCTTCTGGAAGATCTTTATGGTGGGGAACCCACGGATCTGGAATCAGAGGGCACACAGTAAGAAACCACAGGGAGAGGTCAGAAGCCACAGCCACGAAATAGTAGACAGATTTCAGGAGCACTGTAGAAAGATTTACTTTTACATAATCCAACTCTTTTAAATGAGAGGAGGGTCACATATAAAAATCTGAACTAATACATATGCTTATGTTTGGAGGACTTCTGACCCAGTACATGCAAACTGGTTATGCACTGACACAGCATTTGTTTTATTTTATCCTTAAAATAATTAAATCAAATGTGGAAAAAATATATTATAGATCATGACAGAATACTGATGCGGCTTGCAGCGCCCACTCACCCCATATCGACTGGCTAACACCTGGTTCACTGTGGCATCTACAGCTGCCAATTTCACCTTCCCGTTGGTTTGCTCTTTCACTTCTGTTGCAGCTGCTGCCCATTCTGGCTCTAAACTGTGGGAAGGAATGGTTATCTGTGAGAACACGAGGGTCTTTTTTCTTTTCATAAATCACTGGTAAATGATAATGGTTAGGTGAGAACTGAAACAAAACAACTTTTCTTCAAGCCAGAAACATGCGGAAGAAGGACAGCTATTTTCAATGTGCAGGGCAGTTAAATAAAAAAAAAAGTTGGGACTGATCAGAGCTGGAAGAGACCCCTCAAGGCCATCCAATCCAACCTCATGTCAGAAATATTAACAATTAACTAGGTATTTTTGGTTACAAAAATGTGAGTCAAGCACTGAAAGGGTTAAATGGATGCTGTGGTTCAATACAAGCAGGCGTGCCTGTTGCTTAGCAACAACTCAGTCTGAGATAAGCCTGTGTGAGAGAACACCTCAGGGGGAGAATAGGTCTCAGTGTCAGTAGGCCTCAGAATGTGAGGTAGGCCTCTTATGAAAAGGCCTCGTGTGTGAAGCTCCAGTGTGAAGGTTGAACTTTATCTGTGTCATGGAAACCTTGTTATTGTAAATAGTACATCTTATTTTACCTCCTATGGAAGAGATAACATTGATCTGTGGGTTTTTGTTCTTTTTATCACTTTGGGATATTGGTGCTGTGTCATACTTTGCTAATAAGTTACTCTGCTGTACATTTATGAGGAGGGTCTTTTGTTAATAAGCCCACTCGCCCAACACCTCATTCTGCCATGCAGGAATCAAAGCACTCCCAATAGATGGCAATCCAGCCTCTGCTTTAAAAACCTTCAGAAAGTGAGATCCCATCACACTCCAAAGCAGGATATTCCACTCTCAAACAGCTCTTATTATAAAGGAAGCTTATAAATCTAACATACTTAGGACTGCTCTGTTAGGATCCTCATACCATGCCATCAATCTAATTTATCATCAAACTAGCAGAAAAAGCACTATTTATATTCTACATGCAAAATGAAAATTCAAGGCCAAAATCAGATTCAGCTTATGTAAAATTCAATTTTTTTTGCTGATGATCTTACTTACTTTTTGCAATGCCCACACCAAGGAGCATAAAACTCTACCAGCCAAACATCACTGCTGTCCAGCACATTCTTATCAAAAGTGTCATCTGTCAGTTCAATCACATCCTTTTTCCCTGAGCCTCCACTTTCACGGCTGCTCTGTAGTTTGAAACACACAGAAAAAGCACCCGAAATGCATTTAGAATATGCTTAAATCACATCCAACATTACACAATGAGCTCTGGTTGTTGGCCGCAAAAAACAAACAAACAAACAAAAAGCAAAATAAACAAAAACAAACAAGCAAAAACCACAGTTTTCCCTTTGGATTTCAAAGTTCAGTAAGTTCTCCATATTTGCCAGGGGTAGGGACATAGGACTTCCATGAAAGTGAATAACTATGATTTATTAAAAGAATGATACTTTTGTTCCTCGAGAAGACGTGTCTCAAGGAATTTCTAGGCACTCCAGTACAGCTATGTCAATTTCCAGTGGAAGCTGACCACAAAATCATATTGGAGGATCTAGAGATTCCTAGTTACATTTTAATCAAACCTGCAAATGTGAAGGACTGGTAGTATTATTCTACTACATATTTCTACTTACATATGTCTTCAATTATGAAAACTCCACCTTAAAATCCATCACTTAAATTCCAAAAACTGAGTATTATTAACCTCCACTGGAAAATACTGTCCCAATATTTATTAAATATTTATTAAATAAATATTTATTTATTTGCTTCGTCTATACCCTACCTTTCTCACTCCAAAGGGGGCTCAAGGGGGCTTACAAATCCAGCAAAATTCAATGTTGTATGTAACGTAACAATAAAAACAGACCCCATCAACTATAAAGTGTTTAAAACACATAAACAAACACACGGAGCAATAAAAACAGATTAAAAACATAAAATGCTTTTTTTCCATTCATCCATAATCCTTGTCAAAATCCATAAAATCTTATTCTCCAAATGCTTGCATACAAAGCCAGGTCTTTAGCTTTTTTCTGAAGACCAGAAAGGATGGGGCCTGCCTGATGTCACTAGGGAGGGAGTTCCCACAGCCGAGGGGCTACAACTCCTAGAAAGTGGGCGTTCTAGGCATTGTAATCCAAAGGGTAATTTTCTGACAAGAAGCTCTTGTCTAGAAAGTGTGCGTATGAAGAGTTGGCCTTTGAAACAGATAAGATGTTATTAGTTCTTAGGCATACCTGTTTTCCAGAGCTATAGCCACCTCCTCTGCCCCCAAGGCGATCTTTGACCAGTGACCGGAGAGCACTTAAAGCAGCATCAACAATAGCATCACTTGTTCTGGCCCCTGAGTCAAAGAAAAGTGACAAAATGGTCAACAGCAACATCAAGGCACCCACAGGTAGCTAGCTACATTTTTCACTAATTAGTTGAAAGGAGAGAAGAGAATCCCCATGCTTCTTCCACCTGAATTGTGAAGTTAAACTTCTAAAACACTACAATTGGTTTCAATGATGTATTTTTTAAAAGTGTCATTTTATCCAGGGGAGCAGGAACTCTCTGCCTGAGAAGGGGGACGGAGGATTTTATCACTAGGTTTTTGCTCCATCTGAAACACTCTAAAACCTGGGAATGTGTGACTGGTCTTGAGATGCTTCAATTCACCTCTGAGGAGAAGGACAGCACTTAAAATAATCTTAATACAACCATAATTGCTTCTCCTAATTTGCCAGGCCATATTTTGTAAAAAGAGGAGACTCTTAAGCTGTTGTTCTCTACTAAGTACATAAAGCTAAACAATATTACATTCCTAAGTGGAAGTGAAGTTAGTCTATTGCTGGAAAACCAAGGGAAATGATGTGGCATCTTATATTGATTATAACATGAGCTTCTGTGGATTGAAGCCCTTTTTGTCATTGATATACAACTTCACTATTTAAAAAACTACCTTGATAATCTTCTGCTTTGTTCTTATTGGCACCAAATATCTTGATAGTGGGAAACCCCTTGACGCCATACTGGCCACCTAGGGATTGATGTTTATCGGCATCAACAGCTCCAATTTTCACAACACCCTAAAAGAAAGGAATATATGCACATAAAGTAGAATTCGTGTATTTAAAAAAGAAACAAACAAGCTAAAATGGGAGAGAGAGAAACACTTTTTTCTGATTTCAGGACTTTATTTGACATAGATATCAATATTTTTTTTCTTCTCCTGAATATTACTTCTCATTCATAGTGAAGTAATTCTAATTAGGAAGGGGAATGAAGAACAAAGATTGTTTATATCAACCCAAGAAAATTCTCTACTGTGACAACCAACTCCCAAGAACTTATAGACGTGACTGCATTTAACTTGCTAAACTTGCTGTAATCAGAGGACTTTCCAGGCATGTGCTGTTTCACTACTATTGGTCAGTTAAAATTGTTACTAGGCCACTACATTTGTCAAGATCAATTAGAGCAATGACTGATTCATCTGCAGAGAAGTAATCTAAGTGGGTTACCAAGCTCAATGTATTTCCTAGAAATTAACATTTCTTTATGTGTCCTGCCTTTCCACACAGCTTCCCACCCCTCTTTCAGCCTAACCTATTTGACATGATAATTTGTAATGACATGCAATAAGGATGTGCTGTGACTGGGTGTCATCTAACAAAAGAATTTTGACAAAATCAGATAAAAAGCATACAATTCATCAATCAATTAAGTTTGCATGTGGGGAGAGTATGTCTGGAGCTTTTAAAACAATGTACTCATGTTTTGTAGCTGGGACATTGGTTTGGTTATTTGGGATGCTGATTCAGAAAACTGCATTGGATAGACCACATCAGCTCTAGATTTTTAAATATGGCTTTCTGTGGGTGAGCAGATGGCAGCTACTGGATGGCATATGTTCTGGATCAGAAACTAGAGTTGAGGTGGTCTATTCAATGCAATTTACTCCAAAAATTCAACACAGATCATACAATGTTTTGTTAGCTAATAAAGACAAAAAGGAGGCAAGTTGACTGTAACCTTCGAATCACCAAATAAGGAAAGAGACCAGAGTGTAGGCACATACTTTCCATGTGAAAGTGCTGGGTTCAATCCTCAGCATCTCCAGGTAGGTTTGAGGAAGACACCTGTCTCAAACCCTGGAGTGCCACATGTAATCAATAGGAACAACAGTTGAGCTAGATGCATAATGTTGTGACTCAATATAAAGACGCGTTTCTCGTATATTACTCACTTTCAGAGCTGTGGCAGCTTTCTTCCATTCAGGTGTCAACCTCTGGCAGTGACCACACCTTGTGGGGAAGGAGGAGCATAAGGAAAAATTTAGAAACACAGTTCATTCCGACCAACCAATAACTCCACCCACCCAATGCAAATCTATATACCTCATGCCCTTGTGCTTGTACTGCCAACTTTTTGCATTTTCTAAAGATCATGCAGTGGAAGACACCATTAAGTTGTACAACAAATAATGAAGAAAAGTCTAAGAAACACTAATTGTACTCCATATCCATTGCTGGTATATCTCAGACAAGTAGAACGAACTGAAAGGAGTACCAAATTGAGGGAGGGACCACATCCTGAAAAGGCAGAGACCCTAAAGGAATCCTTCTCCTTCTCAACAGATGCATAGAAGTAACTTGCAAAACCACATCTGAGTACCGTATATACTCGAGTATAAGCCAGGTTTTCAGCCCTTTTTTAGACTGAAAAAGCCCCTCTTGCCTTATACTTGAGTCAGGTTATTTATTATTTTACTCTGTTATTATTATTTTATTACATTTAACATTGTACTCTATTTACTGCATTAATTTACTCTATTTATTAGTATTATTACATTTATTATTTTACTCATTATTATTGGAAGGATATATAACACCTTTATATTGAAGAAGGTTAGAATAATGACTTAATCAGAGTTGGGCAGTTTTATTGACTGTAACTTGAATGCATATATTCACACACATAGGCATAGACTGCAGTCCAAGATACATCAAAAATCACACCAGAACATTTGTTGTTTCTATTGTTTCTAAGACATATCTATCTTCCTCACCAAGAATTTTTTCTAAGCTATGCTACATACACATGTACCTGACTAGATCTATGACAACTGCAATGGTTTTAGCCAGATATTCTGGGGCAAGAAGCCATATGAGACCAACTATATGCAGAAAAGGTTGTAAACAGAACATCCATGGTCATCATTTCCCAAAACACATGATTCAATTACAACATACCATGGAGCATAGAATTCCACCAGCCATAAGCTGTCACTCTGAACAACTTCTCTGTTGAAATTTGTTGGTGTTAGTTCTATAACATCATCACTGGAAGAATACAAGCTGTTGACAGCCAAAAAGAGTGTGCAGCTTACAGTTCCTGGAAAAGAGAAGGGGAAAAAGATACATCAAAATTCAATCAACTGATTAGGCATCTTTGTTGCCAAGAGAATCCATGCCTGCTGAAAACAAAAATAAGGGGACAGAGGAGAAACCTAATTATGTGCTAAGAGGTTCCCCACCCGACTAGAAATACTATCATAAGGACAAGTGCTAGCAGGTTCTCACCTAGAAATATTATACCAGATTTCAGGGGAAACATCTAGTTTGATACCCTTTTCTCCAAAGACTCCCCGCCCTTCAACATCCAGATTTCAACCTCTTCCAGCCTGAGTTTGTGGTGTTATGATAGTCAATGCAGTCCAGTGTGTCCTGGTGGCAGGAGCAGATATGACTGAAGGAATCTTTAGTGTATTTTTGACACACCCATGTATGTACTACAATTATTCATGCTTTTCCCCCACTTCTGCAGAGTTGCTATGTTCCTAAATCCTGTGAATGGGGAGCACCAACAGACTGTACTTTTTAAAGACATTTCTACCCTATGTTTTTTGTTTGCAAAAGAAAACTATACTTGGCAGGTGGCTGAAAAATCAGAAATCTTGTTCGAAAGTCTGGAGGCAACAATGTCACAAAAGATTTACCTTGTAGGTCCAGCTCTTCTGTAAATGCCTACAACCCAACCAGAGCTGACAATATAAGGTCAACCTCTACCAAACTGCAATTTTGTGGAGAGTGTGTGCATGCCTATTGTCTACACACATAATAAAAGTGAAAATATGTACGTGTGTGTGGCTGGGGTATCAATTTACAGAGACACGCTCCTGCCTCCACAAACAGCTATAGCTCCCATTAACTCGTGAGACACAAAGGGCCCTCCCTCCAACGACATTGCAGGTTATAGAGAGAGCCATGAACATGTAGAAGAACCCTACCAATGTCCTTCACAAACACCATACTGCCCACCACCCCAAGTGAAGGCTTTCATATTGGGACAATTTCATCCTAAGTTTTATGTGTTTCTTCCACCAGACATCCCAGTGCTTCTTACTCTCTCCACTGGTGTGGAATTTGCATGACCCCACCTACTGCCTCTCCCTTAACCCTTTCCTATGGCACAAAGCAAACAGAGGAACTGATCAGCAACTGAACATACTAGAGAGGTTTGGGGAGAATTCACCATGATTTATAGGAGTTATAAGTACTGGGATGTATAGTTCACCTGCAATCCAAGAGCACTCTGAACTCCACCAGCGATGGACCTGGAACTAACTTGGCAAACAGAACCTCCATGATCAACACAAATTACCGGAGGTCTTTGGAGGGATTTATAGTTGTAGTTCACCTACATCCAGAGCACACCATGAACCCAAACAATGATGGATCTGGACCAAACTTGGCATGCATATCTGATATGCCCAAATTTGAATACTGGTGGGTTTTTAAAGGGAATTGTCCTGGACATTTTGGAATTGTAGGTACTGGGATTTATAGTTCACCAGCAATCAATGAGCACTCCAAACTCCAACAAAGATGGAATTGAGCCAAACTTGACACATAGCTTCCCCATGACAATCAAAAAATACTAGAAGTCTTTGGGGAAAATTCGCCTCAATTTGGGAGAGTTGTTGTTCACCTACATCCAGAGAGCACTGTGAACCCAAACACCAATGGAACTTGGCAAACCTGATATGGCAAAATTTGATTACGGGGAGGGGGAGAACTGACTTTCCTTTCTGGGAGTTGTAGTTCACCCACAACCAGAGAAATTGCGACCTCCACCAATGATGGACTAGGACCAAACTTGGCACACAGAACCCCAATGACTAACTCAACCTACTGGAGGGGTTTGAGGGGACTGACTCACTATAATGGGAGTTGTAGTTTACTCTACAGCCAGACAGCATATTGAACCCAAACAATAATGCATCTAGAACAAACTTGCCCAACATAACAAACTTTAAGTACTAATGGAGGTTTTTTTTAGGTTAACCTGGCATGATGCGAGTTGTAGTTCACCCACAACCTTATGCATTTTGTATAAGTAAAAAATTGACTTTTTCAAATAACCTGGGCAACGCTGAGTATCCAAACTAGTTATAAATAAACATAGGTGTATTTTTTCATTCAAGTTTAAGATAAACCACATGGCTGCCGGTTCCATGCAGGAATACTCAATATTTGATGGACTAAGTCACAGAGACAGGAACAATCTCTAACCCAAGTATGTCCCAAAGAGGGACAGGAGAGAAATCCCTGTGTTATTTCCATGTAATGATGGGAAGTATCAGCAGGGCTTCTCGTCTCTTATCTGAACAACATTCTCACCCAGCATTTAAAGGCATTGACGGAGAGCATTGGTTCCTCCTCTACTTTCCCTATATAGGAAACAGATGGCCAAGATTAGAGGCAGGGGCTCAACTGAATACCCTTAAGCACCATCTGGGCATTCTTCATTCCTACATTCTTTTTCAGGAGTAGCAAAAGGGAAAGAAGCCAGGTCCCCGACAAAGAGTGCATCTACACTGCAGAATTAATGTAGATCAACACTAATTGCCACAGCTCAATACTGTGGAATCCTGGGTGTCGTGGTTTTATAATGCATTTTGCATTGTCTACCAAAGATGACTGGTGAATTGCCAAACTACAAACCCCAGGATTTCACAGCACTGAACCATGGCAGCCACCCCGCCCCATGTCAAGAGCGACTTGAGAAACTGCAAGTCACTTCTGGTGTGAGAGAATTGGCTGTCTGCAAGGACGTTGCCTAGGGGACACCTGGATGTTTTGATGTTTTACCATCCTTGTGGGAGGCTTCTTTCATGTCCTCGCATGGCGAGCTGGAGCTGACAGAGGGAGCTTCTCCACGCTCTCCCTGGATTCGAATCTCCGACCTGCCGGTCTTCAGTCCTGCCAGCATAAGGGTTTAACGTATTGTGCCACTGGGGACTCCTACCATGGTAATTAAAATGGTGCCAAACTGCATTAATTCTACGGTGTGGATGCATCTAGGTGGAGAAAATCTACTGGACGGACCTCATGCTGTCCCTGGATGTAGCCACACTCACCAAGATGGTGATGTCCTGAGGAATAGGGACAATCCCCAACAGTTCCTCTGGTGAAAGCCTAAGTCAGGGTTTTGTACACAGACTAGATTCACTCCAAATAAGGCTGAAATTCTAGTAACTAATCCAATGATTGACCATCTCTTCAAACTAATAGTTGGTGATCCCATGAACAGAATCCTGAGTTTATGTCATGAATGGGACTGGCCACTAAGAAAATTTACTTATCATTTATTTCAACAAACATATCCCCAGCTGCAGAGACTATTGTATCAGAAGTTGAGAGTTTTGTTAGAAGTGTTCCAAAATCAGATCCCCAAGATTTATTATAGGCGTATTACAAGCAATGGATGTTTTAATACAGTGCTTCCAAGCTACATGATGTAGAATTTGTGGTTTATTTTATTCCAGTTGCCAGGGACTGATAATGTCTTCTTGCCTACTGGTTACAATGGCCTTTTTCTTTTCTGGATACTTATCAGGAACTAAACTCCAATGACTCAGTGTACATAAACTGCTTTTAACACGTCACGATTACCCACAACCCATGTGTGACAAAAAAGCGAGAACTGCCCTGACATACTTCCAATGCATCTGCAATATAGAATAAATGCAGTTTAACACCCCTTGAACTACCAGGGCTCCATGCTATGGAATCCTGAAATTTACAGTATATTCTGGCGTATAAGACTACTTTTTAACCCAAGAAAATCTTCTCAAAAGTCAGGGGTCGTCTTTTACGCGGGTGTAGTCTTATGCATGGGAGTCGTCTTAACTCTATATTTTAACTGGAAAAGTTGGGGGTCGTCTTATACGCCCAGTCGTCTTATATGCCGGAATATACGGTACATGGATTTAAACCTGGAAGTCATTGGTTTTTGTAGTTTAAAATTGTTTTTATATGCATTATTATGTGATTTTCACCTGTTTTAAATTATGTATTCATATGTGTTCGGCATCTAATTGCTGACAGTCTGTAAGCCGCCCTGAGTTGCCTTCAGGCTGAAAAGGGCGGGATAAAAGTGTTGTAAATAATAAATAAATAAAGTTTGATGAGGTTTTTTTTTGGCAGAGAAAATGAAAGACCTTGTAAAACTACAATTCCCAGAAACGCACAGTATTGAAAGACATGACAATTAATAGAGCCCCAAACTGCATTAATTCTAGTGTAGATGTGCCCAATGTCAATTTCAGTCTACAAAATGGCTTGATGGAATCCATGAACACCCTGGAAAGGAATTTGTACTAGTCTCAGAGCCCTTCCACACAGCCCTATATCCCAGATTATCAAGGTAGAAAATCCCATATCTGCTTCAAACTGGGTTATATGGCTGTGTGGAAGGGCCCTTTGGGTGCTGATGTCTTACCAAAGTACAAATCCTAGTAATCCATATCATCAAGCCTTGGTGGTAAAAAGTGATGCAACAATGCATTAATTCTACAGTGCGGATGCAGTCTTGAAAGCAGCATTCGCTACCCTTTTAAAAATATGTAATCACAGATGCCTGGATGCTCCGAAAGGAAGCTTCTTTTGGCAACAGAGGAAATTCCACCTCTTCCTCCTGTTCCCAGACCTGGAATCTAGCAGAAAGGAAACGCTGCCCTCTCATCACAAGATCAGAGGAAGTGGGAGCTCCCTTGCTTTTCTCCTCCTTCTCAGAATAAAGCAAGATTTCTTAGTGAAGCACCAGATACAAGAGTCAGGCATGGCTTCAACTGGCTGCCTAATGTCATGGCACCCAAGCTGGATCTACACTGCCATATAATCCAATTTCTGAATCCAGATTTATGTGATAGGAACTGGATTATATGAGTCCACACTGCCATATAATGCAGTTCAAAGTAAATAATCTGGATAAATGGTGGTGGAGATGGTTATTTATCATATCAGAAGCAAACCAAGGTGCCTCAGTCTCACTTGGGTCCTTGGAAGGAGAGCTCTTGACTCCAGTTGTCCAGACTCGGCTAAGGATGCACCCAGGGTTTTAACATTTTATCTTGCACATTGTCTATTTTATTTTATTATATTATGTATTTGCTGTGTTTAATTTTCTATTGTTTTGTATATTATTTTGTTGCATTATTTTTGGGCTTGGCCTCATGTTAGATATCCCAAGTCCCCATTGGGGAGATAGTGGAGGGGTACAAATAAAATTTATTATTATTATTATTATTGAATGAATACAGCTTGAAACCATTTTAACTGCCAATGCTATGGAATCTAGGGATTTGTAGTTTGGTGAAGGCACCAGTACACTTTGGCAGAGGAGACTCAAGGCCCTTCCACACAACCATATAACCCAGAATATCAAGGCAGAGTATCTCACAATATCTGCTTTGAGCTGGGTTATCTGAGTCCACATTGCCACATAACCCAGTTCAAAGCAGATCATGTGGGGTTTTATTCAGCTGTGTGGAAAAGGCCTCAATGTGGGTAAAACTAGTTTTACAGCACTGAGCCATGGCGAGTAAAGTGGTATCAAATTGTATTCATTCTGCAGTGTAGATGCACATAGGGAAAAAGCGGATTATAATTTTTGAACAACCCTAGACCAGCCCCCTTCCCCTCCAAAGGCAATTCCTTCTTGCTTCCCTTAGCATCTAATGGAAATACTCCAGATCCTTCACTGAAAAGGATCCACTCTGAAAGGCAGAACCTAACTCCCCATTTGATCACCAAACTACATGCAGCCCCACTCATTTTCATTCTAGACCAAGAGAACTCTACTGTCCCCGCTCATAACGTCCCCGGATCCCTGCACGCATTGATCCCTGCCATGCACGGCAGCCCTGATAGTGTTCCTTCTCCACCAGGGCCGCCCTGGCTCTCCAGGCGCTTCCCTTCCTTACCCAAGAAGAGACCTCTCCGGCCTAACGCCCCCATCTCTGTCCTTTCAGCAGCAGCCTCCCGCTCTGCCCTTCTCTTCCACCCAGAGGGCCCACAAAATGCCTCCGCGAGCCCAGCCGTGGCCGCCGCTGATTGGCCCTCTCGGCGTTCCCTCCTTTGCATAACCAATGGGAATCCGACGGATCACGGGCGCCGGGGTTCGGAAAGGGAGGAGCCAATTCATCTGTAGAAGAAAGAGGCAGAAAAGGGGCGGGGCCAGGGCTGGAGTTGCTGACTACTTCCTGGTTGCTTTAGCTTCCATGGCAACGCTCTGTGGCATGCCGGGAGTTGTAGTTTAGCGAGGCCTAAACGCGCTCTGTCTGGGAAGCTGGAACGCCTTCCTTTCTCTCAGAATTGTTTCGGATGTGCCCATTTCTTTCACCCAGGATGCTCTGGCGGTAATAGTAAGATAGCTGGGCCCGGAAGCTCCGAGCGTTACGGAGATGCCTTATTGCTCCTTCGGGAGCGCTGTTTGCGAAAGAGAGACTTACGGTAGCTAATGTAAGCCAGGCCGGAGACAGATCATATAGAAGGAATCTAACCCTAACCATAACCCTAACCCAAACCCTAAACCATGCCCTAACCCTAAACCAGGCCCCAGGCCTGTAGCCGGGAGAGAGGGGGGGGGGGGAGGGGTTCAACCCCCCCCCCCCTTTTTCAGGTTAAAAAAACTGTTTTACTCATGAATTTTAGCTGGTTAACCAAATCCCCATGCTAAATCTATGAGATGCAAAAATGTAAGAGTCCCTCCAGAACTGCAAGCACTATCTCAAGAAAATATTGACAATTTAGTCACACTGTCATTACTTGCAGCAACCAATACACATGCACAATGGAGGACCTTCTTATAGCAACACCAGAGGCACTCCAAGTGGCCAGCTACTGGTCAAAGGACATTTAATAGAATGCCAAGTTTTCAAACTTTGTGTGTGTGTGTGTGTGTGGGTTTTTTTTAAATACAACACAGCTGTTTGGTTTGCTCCTGGCAGGATAATTAAATACCCAGGATGCATCTCACTTGTACTTATTTTATCCTTGCATCTGTTGCAACTAAGAGATTGTTAAAGTCAGCTATTAATATTGCTATTATTATTGGCATGTATTGGTATGTATATAAGCTTTGGACAGCATACCCAGTGGGGTTTGTTTTGCTGTGCCCCTGTTCAGAAGATTTCACTTCCCTCTCTGTGATCACTGAATTTTGACAAATATGGCTTGTGGAAACAAGGACTCGAGGACAAGCTTCACTGGAGACACCTTTTCCTCATGATAACTCTTCCAGGAGTGAACGTCTCGAGGGGGAGATTTCTCTCACTTCCTGTTGTCTCACCCCTGTTCTTAACTATGAGTTGTGTGTAAGTTGGATGTTTATAACTCGGGCTACTTGTATTCCTGTTATGTGATTTCAGCTCTCCTGAACCGTTCATTTGGGGTCCGGCCATGTCTAACTCCGAAGTTTCAAATCATATGTGAACAGGATGAAGGCAAGGGTGATTGGATAAAACTATATAAATGAATAGTCTTTGGCCCCAAAATATAGGTATAGATTTTTGGTGTTTTATTAAGGAAAAATAAATCATATTAGGCTCAAACATTTACAGGATTTTTAAAAAGATCAAACAAATACACAACTGCTGGGGAAAGGGAAGCCCATTTTTATTGTTTTTAACTTGTACAGTTGCAAATACTCATCCGATTTTGGCATGCAGGTCTCTTTAGCAGAAAGATGCCTATCTCCCAAAAGTACACATCATCTCTAGCCAGCTTGACTCTTGCACAAGACGCAAAAGCTTTCATTGCATGAAAGTAGATGGTGGTTTAGTTGAAAAGCTGCTTTCATAGGGTTAAGAAGAGCACTGGAAAGGAGCACAAATCAAGGAAGAGTAGATTCTAGAGGACATTATTGCACAAAGCTCCCATCCTGCAACATTTGCACAACCAGTGATCCTAGGATGAGTAGAAACAGGCCCAAATTCCTTAAAATCTATATCAGGGGTCCACAAACTAAGGCCCAAGGGCCAGATATAGCCCTCCAAAGTCATTTACCCGGCCCTTGCTCAGGGTCAACCTATGTCTGAAATGGCTTGAAAGCAAACAACAACAACAACCCTATCTCATTAGCCAAAAGCAGGCCCATACTTTCCATTGAAATACTAATAAATTTATATTTGTTAAAATTGTTATTCATTTTAATTATGGAATTGTTTTTAAGTGTTTTTTGCACTAAAAATAAAATATATGTGCAGTGAGCATAGGAATTCATTCATTTTTTAAAAAAAATATAATCCGGCCCTCCAACAGATTGAGGGACTGTGACTTGGCCCTCAGTTTAAAAAATTCGAGGACCCCTGATCTATATGAAAGGCTTACCAATAGGTATAGGAAATAGTGCTGTTAGAAGGGATATCATTGGGCACTGAATCAAAAGATTGCTTTACTTTTTTACACATGGCTATTGGCTGTTGAATCAGTTATGGAATAATAAATGTTGAAAATGCATCTGGTATTTGAGGTGAGGGGGTTATTTATTTATTTATTTGAGCAAGCATTTTGCAAATGCAGAGTAACTGACATAGGAAAATGGAATGACTAGTCGATGGGACCAGACAATTTTTTAAAATAAGTAGACACTATGGATTTATGTTTTATTGACTTTGTTATGGTTTTTATTATATGTTAATGTTTTTAATTGTATTTATGGTATTGTGGGCATTGAATTTTGCCCTGTAAACCATGTTGAGTCGCCTGCGGGCTGAGAAAGGCAGTATACAAATACAGTAAATAAATAATAAATAATCAATCTGCTCTAAGTCTTTCCAGTGAGATAAAGCGGAATATAAATGAAATGTATTATTATTATTATTATTATTATTATTATTATTAGTAGTAGTAGTAGTAGTAGTAGTAGTAAAGTTGGAGCCAGTGATATTCAGCAGTCGAATATACTATCTGAGAGTGTGCTCGAATCTCCTTCTTTGGAGGCATTTAAGTAGACACTGGGTGGCCATCTGCCAGGCATGCTTTGATTGTGTATTCCTGCAAGGCAGAAGAGAGTTGGACTGGGTGACCGTTGGGTTTTTTCCAGCTCTATGATTCTATAAGCTATCCCATGTAAGCTGCAGAGGAATTTTTTTTTAAGTTCATTGTGGAAGTGATAGTTACATTTGTGAAATTATGGAATAGGGATAAGCAGCTCTCCACGTCTACATCAAATATCACCCTTTAAAATAAGAATTGTCAATAAGAGACCCAGGTGGCACCTCCACAGAAATTAACAAGCAAGCAAGTGCCAACTGTTCACAGTGTATTTTAACATTTTCATAGTGCATTTTTGAAAGTCTCTGACACAACATTGGCACAGAAAAGATAAATGTAAGTTCCTCCTACTGCAAGTTGGCAATATGTAATCAAATAAGGGTTTTGTGTGTGCAAGGAACACACAGTTACCTGTTCACGGTTTGTGCTGACTTATGTCATTATTTGGACCAGAAACCACCATGGCTTATCTTTACCTAGCAACTGGTTCTATGCTGGTAGTTCCTAATATGAAGGCATCCAAGCACAGAAAGGCATTTCTGAATGTAATGAAATAGTTTTCATTTAACAGACTTGAATTTTCAAGTCTTGAATAGTCTTTCTTTCCATCCCTGATTCCACATTCCATGTTGGCAGAGAACCTTCTTGCAGGACTGAATTCCTGACTCGATGCCTCAACACTAACTATGGGCCCTTCCACACAACCCTATATTCCAGAATATCAAGGCAGAAAATCCTACATTATCTGAGTTTGGACACAGATAACCCAGTTAAAAGCAGATATTGTGGGATTTTCTGCCTTGGTATTCTGGGACAAAGGGCTGTGTGGAAGGGCCCCTGAGTAAACATACTCAGCCAATTTGACTTTAACAGGAAACTGAGTCTGAGAAAAGTTGTAACTTCCCACTCACAGCTGCCAAAATCCCATAGCCATTGAAGCCACTGGCCATGGTAGCTGCAGGTTATGAAACCTATAGGTCCCCAAAAGCTACATGACCCTGCATCCTCCATTATAGTAAATTAAAGGTGGGGTTTTTTTTTGTTTTTTTTTTTTGCAGATTTCCTTGTCCTGAAGTAGAGGACTGATTTTCTTATTGAGGAAGCTCACATGCTTCTTTAATAACAGATGTGCAGTTCCAGGAGGCATGAAACAGTCATGCACACACTAGAATTGACTCCAAAATGTGTTATTTGAATACACAAATACTTTAAAAACAATGGACAATGTATTGTCGAAGGCTTTCATGGCTGGAATCACTAAGTTCTTGTGGGGTTTTTTGGTCTATATGGCCATGTTCTAGAGGCATTTCTCCTGACGTTTCGCCTGAATCTATGGCCAGCATCCTCAGAGGTGAGGTCTGTTGGAACTGGGAAAAAAGGGTTTATATATCTGTGGAATGACCAGGGTGAGACAAAGGACTTTTGTCAGTTGGGCTAGGTGTGAATATTTCAACTGACCACCTTGATTAGCATACAATGTGCCTGGAGCAAACTCTTCTTGAAAGGTAATTAGATATCCCTGCCTGTTTCCTCTCTGCTGTTTTTGCTGTTGCAATTTTAGAATTTTTAAATACTGGTAGCCAGATCTTGTTCATTTTCATGGTTTCCTCCTTTCTGTTGAAATTGTCCACATGCTTGTGTATTTCAATGGCTTCTCTGTGTAGTCTGACATGGTGGTTGTGAGAGTGGTCCAGCATTTTTGTGTTCTCAGATAAAATGCTGTGTCCAGGTTGGTTCATCAGGTGCTCTGCTAGGGCTGATTTCTCTCGTTGGAGTAGTCTGCAGTGCCTTTCATGTTCCTTGATTCTTGTTTGGGCGCTGCGTTTGGTGGTCCCTATGTAGACTTGTCCACAGATGCATGGTACACGGTAGACTCCTGCAGAGGTGAGAGGATCCCTCTTGTCCTTTGCTGAACGTAGCATTTGTTGGATTTTCTTAGTAGGTCTGTAGGTGGTTCGTATGTTGTGTTTCTCATCAGCTTCCCTATGCGGTCAGTGGTTCCCTTGATGTATGGCAAGAACAGCTGCAAGACCAAGAACAAGCCACGAGAGTAAAGATGAAGATCCACCCCGAGGAAAAGTGTTTTAATTTTATGCAAATGA